AAAAAAAGAATATGTGGTATGTGTTTTTTGTTGTTTTGTTTAAATAAGTATCTGTTTTTTCAGGGTATTTATCCTAACCAGCCTGTGCTGACTCAGCAGACTTCTGCATCAGTCTTCTTGGGACAAGCAGCCAAGCTCACCTATGTTGAGTATTACCAGCAAAGCTTGGGGAAGGACCCCAAAATTTGTGACATGAGTGATAAACAGTAGTACATTTGCTCTCAAGGGAGATGGGGCCTGAAACATCTAGGATATTCAATCAGAGGAAGAGGCTTATCACCATTGTGGGGCATCCTCTACTACTGGGAGCAGCTATGTGTGACCATAGTGACACGGGCAGAGATGAAGTGGGACAAAAATCTACCTGGTAATCCTTTCTCCCCAAACTACAGGATAGTTAGCCTCCTAACCTTCTACCTCAGCATCTATTTGAATGGTCTGTCTTAACAGATGATTCATCAGAACAGCAAAGATTACTGTGTTGTAAAACATTTTTATAAGCACTTTATACAACATGTGATTGTATCCATGAACGTATGTGTTTGTAACCACTCAACCATGTGCTGATGGATATTTCATTTTCTGAATAAGTATCTGTTCGTAGGTTCAACATCTCCCACATCTCTTCAACTATCCTCAAGTGCTGGTGGCCTGGTGGGTAAGGGGTTGCGCTGTCAATCCAGAAAAAGATGGATTATCTCCTCTCATGTGATTTATAGCCTCAGAAACCCAAAACCTGAAGGATTGTCAATTATGAATTGATTCTGACTTGACAACAAGAGTGAGTGAGACAGAGACTTACAAAGCAAAATACTTTTCTCTGGAGATGCAAGAATTTGAACATGACTTCTTGGGATCACACATGCAAACATGGCCGCAGATGACTTTTACTCACTCTCCATATCATCCTCACTGTGCAGAATCATCAGGTTGTACATGTCTCTGTTTGAATATCCAGCAGAATATTTCCACATAAAAGAGCATGAGAATGACTGGGCTCAGATCTGGAAAGTTGGACCAGGATGGAATGGGAAGTCCCATAAGACTGACAACAAAGAAAACGTATCACGAATTCCACACATAAACCCATAACCTCCATGAACATATAAGGTAGACCTTTTAATAAGGTCATTATTCAAATTTCCACAGTAATCTCTAAAGACAAAGATAGAAAAAATGAGGGTTTTAACCAATGTGTGTAGTCTGAATTTGATCAATATGCAATCAAAATACACTATAAAATATAAGTTCACAAAAGATATGAAATACTGTATCTTCACTGTGATTATATATCAATATGTAAAAAAACATGCTTAGAACTGGACCAATAAATAGCATCATATTTAATGGTTGTTGCATAATAATGACAACTCTGATACTAGTATATTAGAAGGCCCAAAACATAAAGACTATAGAGTTATATCCTTGTAGAATTTTGATAAGATTTTCTGGGCTCATGAAAATTCTGCATACTTACAAAGACATATGCAACTATTTTTATAATACATAATAAATTTCTGTTGAGAATCTGCACAGCACTTTTATAGACATCCGTTTATGTGTGACCTTGTGTGGTCATCCCTGGAATAGACCTAGAGATGCCACTAGACCAAACAGTGGACATTTTGTTTGCAGTGCCCATTCTCTCAACCAACAGGGTTGCTCTCCCTTATTTACCCAAAAGCTAAAGTCTCAGATTCACTGCAGGGACCAATATTATATTTCTCTCCGAATCTAACAAAAAAAATTATTATTTGTGGCAGGATTTTATGTGATGTTTTCAAATTAAAGACAGATTCTTCAAAGCCAAGAGCACGCTGCACTCGTGTCTGAGACTATGCAAGGGTTATGGCAGAACCAAGGATACAGAGTCCAGGGGTAACTGGCTTAGGACAGTCGACTGAAGCAAGTCCACCTATCAAAGCATATACAGAACCTTACTACGTACCATATTAGACTCTAGATTCTTAGTACACAGTATGGAACAAAAAAGATCTTAAACATTCTGGAACCCATGAATAGCTTTCCAACTCCCTGAATATATTTTTTTTCCTTATGACTCATGTAGGGTCTTCTGTGGAGATTAAGGATACAGGCAGGTAAATCAATCTGGAGAAGTAGATTAGGACATCCCCATACCTTCTTTTTTTTAAAATTTTTATTAATTCTTTGTTGCATTTTACTCCTTGCCCACCCCTCCACCCCTCAGATCACTCTTCTCTTTGAAAAGTAAAAGAAAAATTATTTCATTGGTGTATAATGCCCCCACAACCCCCAGTATTCTCCACTATGCAACCTTCATTCTGGACTCCTGTCATGCTCATAATACCCAATCATATACTGTTTCTAAACAGTTCTCTCCCTCATCTGTTTCAATACAGTATACATAATTTATCCAACCTTTCTCAGTCTCACCCCAAACCTGATATTAGTCTCATTCTACAACAGTGGCACTATGCAGTATTTGTCCTTTTGTGACTGAGATATTTCACTCAGCATAATGTCCTCCAGAGTCACTCATTTTGGATAATATTGCATGAGTTCCTTGTTTTTCAATGCAGCATAGTATTTCATTGTGTGAACATACCAGAGCTTCTCTATCCATTTGTTTGTTGATGGGCACTGAGGCTGTTTCCAATTTTTTGCTATTGTGAACATACCTTCCTCTCTCTTACTCTCTCTGACTCCATTGACGTGATTAGAAGAACCACAAGGGTCCTGAATCATATATGGATGATGTGAGAAGAGAGCGCAGGGAACCCAGGAAGCAGTAGGTGGATCCAGACAGGGTCCTGGATAGGTGATTGGGATTGCTACAGTGCTGGAAAGTATCCTCCCTTGGGAGCTCAATTCTGTCATTTCACTTTAAAGCTAAAACTAGAGTTGAGAACACTTTGCTCTAAGGAACCAATCCTAGACCTGAATATGACTGAGAATATACTCGTTATGAAAGATCTTATGAATTAATCCATCAGTAAGGTTAGCTATGGGTTGGTTCTTACTCAACGGCAAACAACAACAACAAAAACAACAATGATATAGTTATAGATTTGCATGCACCCAGACTAAATTATTAGTTCTTAATGGGAAAGATAGATTTTGATCATTCTTTCATTTGTACTGTCTGAGAGTGTGTTCAGAGATTCCATCTGATCTCCATCTTCAATGAAACTGAAGATACATAAAGACTTTTATGGAATAAAGCCATTAACTTGGTGATTTAGAACTACAGGGATCTTTCTATAGTTTCTGGTTCACCTTTAAGCTTGAGTATGAGTCTAATTCTCATGGTTATGTTGAATTTTAACAGAATGTTTCTCAAAACTACAGTCTTATGAGAAAATGAGGGAAGGATCTTCTCTCCACTTCGCCTTTCTAACCAACCTCTCCCTGTCCTTTCCTATGACAGAGGTGAGCTAAGGTTTGATTTCTGATAACAGTTATGCTACTAATATCAGGGGTACCAATGGTCTTGATACATTATCTGTATTAGTCAAGGACAGTGATAGCTTTCATCACTGATTCCTCAATGTAAATAGAATCAATTTGCCTTTAAATTAAAAAGAGTTGCCCATTGATGCTGAGTGAGAATAAAAAGGAGGACAAAGTTAATCTTAAATCACTTAGGAGGTCCAAGTGTCCTGTGTTTGTTACTGGTGCAGCAAACTTGGTGACCATCCTATAAACTCCAAAACCACATGAAAACTCAGCATCTGTCTTTTATCAGAGGTTACACCTGCAATGAGATCCAGAATCTCTAGGAATTGCATGATTCCTTCCTATAGATACTTCTTTTCTGTTCCACCACTTTCTCACCTATTCACTGTAATCTCATGATTCTTTATCATTTTCTTTCTCTCATCCCTTGAAGGCATTCGCCAAAAATAATGCCCCAAGAATCGATGGCAATTGGCATGTTTCAACTGACAAATGCAATCTTGTATGCACTTGCCAAGTCTGTGTCAGATTATTTGAGAGGACAGCTTCCTGGCTGACTGACTGGAAGAGATCCATACTGGTTCCCATTCCCAAGAAAGATGATCCAAGAGAATGTGGAAATTACCAAACAGTATCATTAATATCACATGCAAGGAATTCTGCTGTAGAACATAAAAACATGGCTAGAATGGTACTGACAAGGAACTGCAAGCAAAGATTAGAACAGGCTGTGGCCCCAGGGATACCATTGCTGATGTCAGCTGTATCCTAGCTGAAAGCAGAGAATACCAGAATAATGTCTATCCATGGTGTACTTACTATGCAAAGGTGTTTGTGTGAATCATAACAAACTATCACTAAAATTGAGAAGAATGGAAATTCAGAACATGTAATTATATACTCATTCAATATGGACTGAAACGCAACATCAAGAAAACAAAAACTCTCGTCTTGGGGCCAATTGATAGCACCATGATGTTGTTTTGTTGTTAAGTGCCGTCGAGTCTCAGGCGACTCATAGCGACCCTATGAAGGAGAGTCCTCAATGATTGGGTGTCTTTCATCCTCTCTCCAGGTTCATAGGGTTTCCGGAGGCAAGCTATTATGGAAGTGGATGCCACTCCTCCTTCCACGCTTATTTTAATCTCAGAGCTCCACCCCGCTCTCTATCTGCATTGGATAACCAGCCATTAACGCACTTGACACATCCATATCACAGTGTTCAGCCTCACAGCACCATGACAGGTGGAGAAAAGACTGAGTTTTTTTAACACCTTCAACTTGCTGGGTTCCACAATTAACACTCTTGGTACCAGCAGTCAGGAACTCAAAAGACAAATAGCAATGGGAAAATCTGAGGTCAGGGACCTCTCCAGAGTTACTTAGGAGTAACAATTTCCATCTAGAGACTAAGGTGCATCTAGGCCATCATCTTCACAATTACTTGCAATGTATCAAAGAACTGGACAGTGGCTAAGGATGACAGAAGAATTGATATCTTTGAGTTGTAGTGCTGGAGAAGAGATCAAACATATCTGTCTGGGAGAGGGTGAAACCAAGTTCCTCTGTGGAGGCAAAGATTTTGCAGCTCTGTCTCACATACTTTGAGCTTGTGGCCAGGAAGGATCAGTCCTTGGAGAAGGACATCATGCTTAAAGGGGGAGGGACAGTGCAAGGTAGGAAGACCCTGGATGACATAAATTCACACAGGAACTGAGGTAATGAGAGTAGGTGTGTTAGGATCATTAAGACTGGTTCACTGTAGGGCAGGC